AAAAAAAAAAAAAAAAAACAAGACATTCAAATTTGGTCCTCGTCGAAGAGCTTTTTGAGGTTTGTGGGACAGTGGGAGTGAGCAATTATCTTATCAAGTTGGCCATTCCAGAGCGAAAAGATCTTGGTTGATTTTAACATAAAATGTGGAGAAGCTCAATTTCCTGAAGCTATGCAGTTGCAACAAACGCAGAAAGATCTAAAATTATATAGGTAGTAAAAATATAGCATGGAGGCAAAATGCAGGCACCATTTTCTAATTCTCCTATTACAATTACACGGCTGATACCTGTCAAAATTTTATTTGCACTGCTGCTTCTTTTTCTTGTACCATTCAAGTCAAGTGTACAAAATTTGCTAGACGAAATGTAAAAACAAATAAGACCTCGTGAATGAGCTTACAAGCTTGGCCATGAGAACTCAATGAAGTCCTTTTAATAGAAAATCTTCTTTTTATTCAAATTTTGCTACATAAAGGTTTTGAAGTAGCTGAAATGCGCCATTTGCCTCACTGGGAAAGGGAAGGTACTGTCTTCCACAAGAAATATAGGGTTTCCTCTGCTGGATTATTTTGTTTGATGATGTACTGAGGCTGATGCCGTTGGCTGCTCCAGAACGTGCATATTTTGGACTTCTGTAAGCCGATAATTGATGAAAACACCATTATATACAGTGCTCTATTCAGCAATACAGGATGTCCCTGCATAACTTCTCNAATGGGATCCCCAATAGCCGGAGACAAAAGATTCATATGAGAAAACATAAGTAAACGGGCCTCTACTTGAGCCTCCAAGGATAAAGGTACATGAACAGCCATTTGATCTCCATCAAAATCAGCATTGAATCCCTTGCAAACTAATGGATGTAAACAAATAGCGCGCCCCTCCACTAAAACGGGCTGGAATGCCTGTATGCCTAATCTATGCAAAGTGGGTGCTCTATTCAGCAATACAGGATGTCCCTGCATAACTTCTTGAAGGATTTCCCAAACAATCGGCTCTTTTTCTCGAATTTTACTCTTAGCAACTCCTATGTTCGAAGCAAGATGTTGTCTAATTAGACCACGAATTACCAATGTCTGGAAAAGTTCTATTGCTATTTCACGAGGCAATCCACATCGATGTAATGAAAGTAAAGGACCCACGATAATGACAGAACGCCCTGAATAATTGACTCGTTTGCCAAGCGCAGTCTCACGAAATCTTCCCTCCTTCCTTCAATTACATCAGAAAATGACTTATAAACTTTATTATGACCGTCCCTCATTGGTTGTCCCTGGATTCCATTATCAAGAAGGGTATCCACGGCTTCTTGTACTAATTTCTCTTGACACATTACTAATTCTCCTGACGTAGATCTACTTATTGTTAAAAGATCGGTAAGTGAGAAAATTAGGAGTAGCTTCTTAGTAGCCAGAAATGGCTGTGGCTTGAAAGAGCGAGATGGTAGTTGTCTTCCTTTTCTTCTTTTATTTCCCACGAGTTCCAGGCAATAAACCGAAAAACTAAATGTCGATTGCCTTGCCATTGACAAAGGCAATCGATTATCTCCCTACTGAAACTGGAGCAAGAACCATATAATTGCAGCGTTGAATACATTCAATTTCCTCCATCACCTGGTAAATCTACATAAAGCATACGTGAAGCATGATATTCACAAATGTCCGCCTGGTAGTCCTTAGAATGTATCGTATGCGCTTCAATCAACAAAATAACCATACGAAATTAAACTTCGCAATTCTTTGAGATTTAAAACTGTTAAGGATATGGACACTTTAAAATTGAAACTTAAAAGCGCCGTTTTAGTAATCGATAATTCGATATGCCATTGAGAAACTAGAAATTACATAAAAGAGTAATCTAAATCATAACTTTCAATAGTCCACGCTATGGTCATGCAACTATAACGATAAATGCTTTATAGTCCATCTTGTGGTCATACAACTTAGTGATAAATGCGCACAAGATAGCAATGACCGGAGATTGAGCAATCTGAGGTCGCGGGTATCTCAAGGTTTTGGGGTGCTTCTCCTGCCACGATTGATTACAGTTAATGGGTGCAACTCCTGCTGCGACTAGGTTCAGAATAGGTATACCTCCTAGATCAAAATAGGATACCTTTTCAATTCTTTTCTCTGTTTCTGCTGTTATATTTTGTCTTGAGTTTATCCGTCTTTGGATTATTTCATATTCTTCGACACCCCTAACAAACCTTATTAACTCCAGCTACTCAGATATTCCGACTACAAATAAACACTTTGGGCAATGCAACGTGCAGCTTATTGATCCGATGGAACGTAACGTTTGCCTGCTATAAATCTAAGGGGGAAAAAACAATCTATCCAAGCAAGTTTACAAAATAAAAACGGCAAGTATTTACTAATCAAAAGAAAACATCACCTTCACCCCTTTGTGAGCAGGATGATATTCATGAGCTAAGACCATAAACAAAGAGAAACAGGAGATATAGGTCAACTTTTTTTTTTGGGATAACATATCACACCACCTTTTAATGCATAGTTATCTTTAAATCTCAATTTAGTTTGTCTTTGTTTCAGGGGTTTCTTTGGTCAAGGGCCAGGGTTGGAGGAGAATTGAGACAATCATACATCAAGTACAATTTCCTATCATCTGTAAATTATGTGCTCAGCTTTCCATTGATTCTGGCAAGAAGCCAGATGATAAAATAGCAAAGCAAAACTCTTCACATATTCATGAGGATATATATCTCCCCAGGATTTTATCAGAAATTCCTATTAACACCCACAAGATTGCACAAAGTACTCCAAGTAAAGAAAAACAAAAAAATCCATTTTTGGATTTGCCCGAACTACTTGAAGCTGCAGAGGTATTACCTGCAGCAACATTCATGTTCCTGGCATTTAATTTCATCCTACTAAAGCTAGACATACGCTCAAAGGCCCTGTTAACTAGAGCACTTTCAGCAGCTGAAGCAGGTGTGGTGGGTATAGAATCCACGAAAGCCCACAAATTAGAGGAGATCCACGATTGTGCACCATCATTCTTTTTGGCTATTGGATTTTGATTTGCGCCCACAGGATGATTTGTATTATTATCATATACCACACCTAAACATTGCCAGAACTTGCTAAAGTTAGAATAAAATCTAGCACCAATATATTAACAGCAGAAGAGCTCTTGAAGCTGGCTCAAACTCCCCCATTTCCACTTGGGCAAAAGAGTTCTTGCCATGCTGAAGATGACATGGTTATTCAATACCATCCATCTGTCCATGAGCTCCACTAAGTCAGATAACATAGAGAATGTGTTTTATACAAATCTTGAAAAAGTATGACAATATTAAGGCATTAGCCAAGCAAAACTGGCAGCATCGCTATATGGAATTCTTTGAATACCTGAAGTTGCTTGATGAACAACTGATTGGTCTCCTTCAATGGGGTTAAAGACGTTGAAACTTTCGTCATGCCTCCATAATTGATGGTTTATCTGGTTTTCATGATTCAAGTGCATCTGCCGGTTGTTCATCATGCCATTTTGGAAAGTGCTCATGTATGTAGTGGAATCTGGGTATGCAATCCCATTCACAAAGTTGTTCATATATAGTTCAGCATTTTGCCCCACCGATGTCCCCTCATTATCAAGAAGCAAGTGTGCATCATGATACAGGTCAAACTCTCCTAAGCCATCGAAGTCATCAAACTGCACAGTCCCCAGGTTTCCAGCAGGCTTGTCGAAGATTTGACCATTTGGTGTTTGATTATCAAAGTTTTGAATAGAGAGCGCTGAATCATCGAAGTTTTGAACACTCGGTTCTGGACCAAGAAGATCATCCATCTCCAGAAAGTCTTCCAGGAAATCCTCTTCCACCGCAGGTAGCACCTTTTCAGGATTCACAGGAGCAGATGAGACCTCTGCTGCCTCGTGCAACTGCAATTGTGATGTGCCTGATTGTGTCAGGTCAAAGCTTGTGTTCGCATTATACTGCTGGCAGCTTGGGCCAACAACAGCACAATGATTGTACAAATTAACTTCCATTGAGGACTGATCTAACAAGGTACTTTCAGTATCTTCCTCTTGTACAAGCTGATCCAATGCATAGTCGTTATCTACAAAGAAAGGCTCAAGAAGCACATGCTCATCATCTGCAATACGTTTCAGCAGTTCCTCAAGTGCATCATCAGCAGCAGCTGGAACTTCATTAACGTGCTTTGTGGAATTCTCCTGCTGAACAGAGACTTCGGCTACTGGACACTCATCATCAACCCAGTCCTCCTCTCTAAAATATGCACCATATTGCTCACCATTCTTGGGGCCAGGCCCGCTCTTCTTAAAGACCTTGTAAAGTGCATAGTAGTCCTGTGCATTCTTACATCTTTTCAGCTCTTCTTCATCCATGGTATATTCATGCATCACCCAATCTGTCCGTTCACCTACAGGTGCTCGGCCTTTATAAAAGACAAGTGTCTTCTTGACTCCAACTGCACGAGAGTTGCATGTAATAATACGATCCTTTCCAGTAGCTTTCCAATATCCGTGCTTTGTTGCCCTGTTTGACCGTGCTCCATTGGGATATTTTCTCTCTCTGGGACTAAAGAAGAACCACTGCCTGTCTCCAGTTTTTAACTTGGACAAATCTGCAATTCAAATTTGCAAAAACAGTCAGATAAGAGTTCAGAAGATTCAAAGATGGTCATGAAAGTACATCAACCCAAATATGAGTATCAATCAGCAACAATTAGTTTCAGACAATTGAAGAGAATAAAATATCGTATGAAATTCAAGTTAGGGAGCATGTCAAGAGAGGAAAAGCCATCAAACAAACAAAGAGAAGCATGAGGAATTTAGAATACAATAGTTATACATGGAACATGATTATTTCCATTAATGTCGAAGAATCATAAATATACTTATGTGCGTGTCAAATACTGATAATGATACATCCTTTCTTTTCTCAAAATTAAACTACTGAGAGCTTATATATGCCCTCGATCTCCATTCTTATTCGTCCCTCAGTTCACACAAACTTTGATCACAATATACACAAAAAACACATGACTCAAAATAGAACCTATCTATTAGAATACATCCTTTCTTTTCTCATGGAACATGAGGAATTTAGAATACCATAGCTATACATGGAACATGATTATTTCCATTAATGTCGAAGAATCATAAATATACTTATGTGCGTGTCAAATACTGATAATGATACATCCTTTCTTTTCTCAAAATTAAACTACTTAGAGCTTATATATGCCCTCGATCTCCATTCCTATTCGTCCCTCAGTTCACACAAACTTTGATCACAATATACACAAAAAAAAAAAAAAAAAAACCACACACACACAGTAAACCTTTAACAGAAACTCAGAGTTACGCAAAAAACCATCTTTATGACAAATCTACTTCACCCCAAATAAATATTTGTCAAGCAAACAAACACAATAGAGCCATGATGACTAATATTTCCTTGCACAATGCATAACACATAAACATTACATATAAACCTTCAACCAGTACACACCTTCATCCACAGAGAGAATTAAGAACGCAAAAAGGGTAAAATCATGCCAAACAATAAAGTCAACGACAAAAATACTCCAGAAAGAAAACAATACAAGTATACAACACGCAGTTAAATCACAATCCTCAAAAACAAAATCACAAACACAACAAAACAACACACTTCACACGCCAAAACCCTACAAAAAACAGTCACTCACATGATCAAATCAAGTCAACTCCTCAAACAACACATACAAATCTAATCTTTCAAATTATAATAACAAAAATATAATATAGTAAGAGAATTGATACATACCAGGCAAATCCTCAGGATCCCACTTGTACACGTCAGTCTCAGCAATAGCATCAAGCAAGATCCGGCGCCGACAGATCTTCCTCTTCAAGTAGTACACAACAAGCTCCTCATCTGTCGGGTGAAACCTAAACCCAGGTGGAAAAATATTACTTTCACCAAAAACCTTAATCTCTTTACAAGCTGATGATGATGACGGGGTTGATGAATCCACCAAAAGCTTCATTTTTTCTTCAAAAAATCAATAGAATTACACTGTATATATGAATATGTGGCTGTGATTGTAGAGGAAAAAGTGAAAAACGGAAACCCTAGAAAGATGAAATTGAGAAGGGTCAATTGAGGAGAATGACCCTAAGAGGTGGGAGTGTAGAGTTGATTGGTCAAATAAGAAATAGCGAAGAAAATAATACCCTCGCGGTTTTGGGGGGTGGGGGAGAGGGGCATATGGGGTGTGAGGAAGGTTCGTGCGAAATAAAGGAGAGTTTTTTTTTGGTAGGGACACCTTGTTTCCATGGTTGTTATGTTCGTTTCATAATGTATTGTATCGTATTGTATTGTATTTCACTGTATCGTTTGATAAATATAATATTTGGATAGATTATGTCGTTTGACATTATTTCATGATATCATGCACCAGCAATATGAAGAATAAACTTGCAATATTATAAAGAAAAATTATGATACAAGATAAAATTATTATATAAAAAAGTAAGGTAAATAATAAAATAAAATTATATAATAATAATAATAAAGGGTGAGATTGAGAGAAAAAGACAAGGTAACGACGCGATCACACCAAATCGGTCATTACATAAAGTGACACATTTCGTCGTTATGTAACAACGGATTTAACGATACGATACAATAAAATTTAAGTAACAATCAAAACAAACATCGTATTTAAAGTAACAATACTATATAATACAATGGGTAACAACCATCCAAACAAGCTAGAATTTGGTGTGACTAAGAGCCTGTTTGGACATAAGAATTTTTTCACTTTTTTCTCGAAATTTTTTTTTTTTTTTAAATTATTGTTTCGCCATAAATTTTTCATTTTTCACTTAAAAATAAATTGTGAAATTTTTTGAAAATTTGAAAAAATTCAAAAAACTATTTTTCAAAGTTTTCACTCACAAAACTTCAAAAACAACCCAAAATTATATTCATGTCCAAACACAACTTTAATTTTCAAATACCATTTTCACTTGAAAAAAATATTCACCTTTTTTAAAATATTACAATTCTTATGTCCAAACGCCCACTAGGTTTAGTGAGATTTGGGTGGGGTCCTTGTATTATGAATATTATTATTATGAATTAAAATAAGGTTTTGTTATTTTAGAAAATGGAAATTTGCTTTCTTTTTTAAAAATCTGTTTAGTGAAGAGAAAATTCTACAACGAATAGAAGCAAGTGAGCTGACTAATTTGGAAATTTTGGGACTAAATAGTATTTTCCTGAGGTTTGAATTATTGTGTACCTTTGATTCGTTCCAAAGTAACGTTGTCCATTTGGGGCAAATTCATGTATCCCATAAAGGATAGTGTCATGGTTTTTTGCCCAAAAAATTAGTCGCACAATTGGGAACAGTATATTGCCAAAAAAAGTGCAAAATAATATTAGTGAAAGATATTATTACTCCTATATGTTATTGTCTTTATGTCAAAAAGGTGAGATGTTTTGTACTCCTCCAATTCAGTTCAGTTGAATTTTTTCGTTTTTCGAAAGCTAATTTGATTAAATTAGATTGATGTAATATTTAAAGTAGAAATTTAAATATTCAAAAAATTATCCAAAAAATATTATAGCATATAAAAAGAAAAAAATTGTCAATATGATGAAAAAACATATGCCAAAATATAGACCAAAGTTTATATAATTTGAATCTTAAATGCGAAAAGATTCACATAAATTAGAACGGAAGGAATATTATATCTTTTTAGTAATTCAATTTTTGTCACGACCTAGAATTCCCACCGTCAAGATCGTGATGGCGCCTAACATTTCACTTGCTAGACAAGCCAACATTAGAACAATTTACTTCTTTTAGTAGCTTAAACATAACAATATTAACTAACTGAAATAACATATATGTTATAAATACAAATGCGGAAGTTAAACAGCCAATCGTCTATTACAATTCCCTGAACCTGGTGTCGCAAGTGCATGAGCTTCTAAAGTAATATACATAAAGGTTTGAAATAAGTACAAAGTTGTGTGAATGAAGTTGTACGTCTAAAAGAAAAGAGGATGGGGACTCCACGAGCTGCGGGCGCTGAACAGCCGTACCTCAAGTCTCTGCAAGTGATCGATCCGAGCTCGCTAGTAACCGCCACAAGATCTCGTGCATTGGAACCCATGGTTATGGACCCGAATCCGTTAGTATGGAACATT